ACTGTATCTGGGGCTTGTCAGGGGAGCAAGGGGTTTGGCTTAATACCAGATGTGGAAATGGCATTTTTGTTAACTGGTTTCTCATGAAGAGCAAACTGCAGGGGATTTAGTTGAGCATGTAAATGGAAGAGTTAAAAACTACAGTTTGCATTTCAAAACATCAAACATTGTCTCAAACAAGTTGAGAAACCGGCCAAGGCGAACCATCAATTACAGCAGAGCACTTGCCTCACATCCTCCCAGTAGTAGATTATTGTTTGCTTCTTTCATGCAAATTCGAGTTGAGTTGCCATATCAGGTGACATACACAGATCTGGGGAAATTCAATCTTACAAGTCCTGCCTGTTGTAAGACACAGTAGATAAGCAGACAAATGTGGGATGAGTTGAGTCTGATTGTTTCACCTGGATGTTGCTTTGTCCTGCATTATAGCAGTCCAGCTTTTGTTTTCAGTGGAACTGAAACAGTGTAAAAAAAATAAAAGGTAAAAAATGTCTCAGCAATTAAATAACTACAGAAACAAGTAGGTAAGTAAGTAGGTAAAGAAGCCAATCAAACAAGTCGCTAAGAAAATAAATAATGGAATAAATGAAGAATCATGAGCAAACAAGAAACTAAGAAAATAGGCAAACAAATAGACATGCAAAAGTAATTATTTAAAGAAACAAGCAAGCAAGTACATATGAAAATAGATTAGATGATAAACATTTAGCTACAGTTCAGCTCCGACTTGTTTTTACTTTTTTCTAACAACAGATTTTTATTTTGATGTCAGATGTAAGTAAATCAGTGTAATAGCCTTTGTCTTGACAAAAGTTAAGGTTTGCACATTCTGTTACACAGAAACATGTTTGTGTGTGACAGAAGCTACTGTGTTGCAGCAAATGTAACAAATATGAGCAACATGTAAGAAAACAACTTTAAAGCTTTCAGTGTTCTTGAGCTATCCTCTGTGATTTCCAAAGTAGAGTGCAAATGATTATGTGCATCCACACTTTCCTACCAAGGCAGAACTGGTTCCTCTGTAAATCCAGTCTGCCACAATGGCAGCTGATAATATATGGTTTCTGCTCCACCTGCTTGTGCTGAAGCTTCCTGTGTTGATGATATGTATGATGCTTGGTAGGGTGGAGATGACAATGTAGGTGTGGAGGAAGTCAAATGCAGGTGTTTGTGGTTGTGTGTGTGTGCGTGCGTTTGTGTGTGTGTGTCAGCCCAGGTGGGTGCTGACAGACCGGCAGGTAAACAGGCAGGTTGGTCTCTGATCTCACCTGTTGGAGCAGACACGGCAGCGCCTGCAGGGCTTTCGCAGCGGAAAGATGTTCTTTATATGATTCTGAAAGGCAACCTTCTATTCTTTTCTTCTTGTTCATTTGTTCCATTCTCCTCTCCAAGGCTCATTCAGGTAAACACCCAGAAAATACACAAAGTACAGAATCAAACAATTGGGAGTTGGAAGAAAGAGTGGATGAGAGTAGGAAGAGAAACGCCCCCAAGGTAGCAGCAGTGCAGGTGGGCTTGAGAAGGGCGGAGGGTAGGAGGTGACGGCAGTGTGTGTTTGTGTGTGACAGGAAGGTTTTTGAGTGTGTGCTGGCTTCATAAGGTGGTGCTTTGGGGGGAGAGGAATGTTACACATCCCAATTAGAACAGACCACCCCTATAAACTTTTAGGAAGTTATTCTAACCTGCAAGGCAAACTCACATGCGCACACACTCACACACACACACACACACACACACACACACACACACACACACACACACACACACACACACACACACACACACACACACACACACACACACACACACAGGAACAGCAGCTGTGGAGTTTAAACTTTGATATGAAGTGGCCAGGTGAGCAGCTCAAGTCTCAGGTTACATAGTCCGGAGGAAGTCTGTGGATTATCTCCTGTTTCTTATGTAATGTTTTCTTTCTGTTTGAGGTCGTTCAGTTTATTTTGGCCTTTAGGGCCCTGTGAGTGTTTTATAGTGGGTGGCTTATTGAGCAACAGGAAGGGCAAGCTCAGGAAGGCAGTATGATAATGCAAAGGAACTTAAGTCCTTAAAGGTTTTACAGCAAAATGATTAATGGTAAGAAAAACCTTATTGGCAAAAGTTTTGTCTGTTCCTATTCTGAAATTAAACTTTGGTACAAATTTTAATGAAAGAGATAGCTTAGTATGTTTTGACTGTGGTTCTGTTAAAGGTTTATAAGCAGCTAATATCTTCAGTATAGATGATACTCTTGACCTCTTCATTTCATTTGGCAAAAACAACATTTTCTTTTCACGTTCATGGAGTGATCTTGTTAAACTAAAACAAATACCTGGTCATTATTGAGTTTGTCAGTTTTTTATTTCAGTTGTGTTTCTGTTTAGTATGTATTTGCATGATTACTACGTTAGCCAGAACTCCATTGTGTTAGAGATTTTGAATCTCTGTCAGACCTTCCTGTTAATCTTCTGAAAAGCTACTGGGTCGTCTGTGAAGCTGTAGGAGAGTTCAACAATCTAATGGCTTATCTGCAAAACTAATGGCTGGTCCAAGAAGCTATTGTTTTGTCAGAGTAGCTGACAAAAATATCTTCTATTGTAACATTTTTGCTCTTTACAATTGCTTTACTTTTGACAGGAATCACTTCATCTGTGCTGATATTTATATATGTTTTACTCAAAGCCTCCTCCCTGCAGGTGCCATAAAAAAATCACCTGCTTCTCTGTAATCTGCACTCAATATAAACATAGTGGTTTAAAGGTCCTCAAAATAGGATGTCTACAAACTGCCTTGATGTACTTGAAAATGTATTTTGTTTAAGCTGCGTATGTCAGGTTTGGTCTTTCTTTAGCTGCTAGAACTAGTTGAATTTATAACAAATTAATATGCCACAAATGTTCTGCAGGGTATGTATGAATTTCTAATGAACTTTAAACAAAACTTTGTTAAAGAAAATCCTGAACTACCTTTCTACTTATTCTTTATTTGTGTAGTACAAAAACCAACACAACAGCCAAGTATATTTAACAATATATATTTCCATTGTCAATGTACATTCCATTTCAACATAAGCTTTCTTCACAAACAAAAAGTTGGCATCTAAATAAATACTATATAAAATAGAACTTCAAAATAAATATATCTATAAAGGGAACCTTTTATATGAGAATTTTTTTTCTTTTGTAATATCTAAACAAACAAACCAACAAAAAAAGCACAAATCTCATTTCTTAATCCAACAATGTCATTGGAAAGGTACAAAGGAATGGAGTAGCAACTGTTTGATAGTTTTCCTTTTATGTGAAAATATAAACCAGGTGATACTGGTATGTAGTGATACTGGTATGTAGAACTCAAATTAAACTACAGATTTAATTTCAATATAGTTGTTGGTGGGTTTTTTTCACACCTTGAACCGGCCAATGAGCACATAATAGAAAAAAGATCTACAAAGAAAGGCAGCAGTTGTTGAAAAGAAAGCGGTCCAACCTGTGATAAAGATAAAAACAACTCCAGGTAAAAACAAAGGTGACAAGAGGGTAAAAAACATCAAGAAAGCAAGAGGGGTGAGAGTATCAGATGTGAGTCTCTTCTGTCTCTGTGGTATGACAAGTCTATGAACAGCAGCTGTGTTTGTCAATCAAGGCAGGCCAGGGGTGTTTGTTGGACTATTTCCCATGGAAGAAAGGAAGGAAGAAATGCATGAATAAAAAAAGGAGCAGGGAACAGGCTGATCAGGGTAGACTGTGTTCGCAGTGTGGATTCAATGAATCCAATGTCTTTAGGACTCAGAGAGGGAATTAGCTTAGCCTCTCGACTGCTAATGAGCCATGGATAGCATAATCAGCAGGAGATTTTTATTTTTTCTACTTCTTTATTATTGCCGGGCACACTTTTCTAAATCAAGTGCAAATGGTATAAAGTCACTTTGTTTCTCGAAGCCTCCTTCTACTGCACTCATTTTCCTCAAAAACATCTTATTCTTACCCTCAAAATATATATCTAATATAGTCTCTATATAGTTTGTACTGAATTGTGGTTATAATGTACCATGCAATCTTCCGAGGACATTTAAAAGTCTCTTCTAAAGAACACAAATGTTGTGAAACTATTTACAGCAAATAACATTTCACCTTCATAGCGCTATTACTAAATATATAGTCAAAACATTTGTGATTTTTGCTGCCCCACCTCCCCCCAGGCACAGATTCGCTCTCAGGTTTGGCACCTATCTCAGACTGAATTGCAAGGTTTTTTTAAATATTGCCTCGTACATTCAATACCAAGGACCACATGTGGATTTTCCTGCTCTCCTATTGTTTTTTGAATGATATTAGCTTTGTGTAAAAAGCCAAATACAAGTATGAGCAAAGTTAGATACCCTAGTGGAAGAGAAGGGTCCAACTTGTGGGTTATGGAGCCACAAAGCAAATATGCCATAATGCCAAATGGAAACAACCACCTGTATTAAAGGGCAATTCACCTTTAACAGCCTGCCACTGTTAACAATTTGGCAAAAGGGCATCATAACAACTGTGGTCACTTAGACTGTGAAACCATGCTACTATATAATAGCATCCTTTGGCAAATTCCTAAGAACATCATGCAATTCACAAAAATAGAATAGTAAAAGAGAGACTACCTCACACAATCAGCTATGCAGCATACTGATTTGACTTTCATGAAGACACAGATGTGCGTAGAGGTGGATGGGTGTGTGTGGGGTAAATGTAGTGAAGGCCAAAGTAATACAAGATTGCTTAGGTGGTTAATACTGTGCTTTAGTACATCCTTTAAGAGGGGTCCTAAAAATAAGGTTGTGCAAGTGGCAGGTTTGATATTGACAAAGGCTGACTGGATACAACACAATAACTTTTTCTAATCCTTTCCTCTTCACCTTTACCTTCAGCTTGACCCTCTTCACCTGCATCCCTCTCTCCTTTGGAAAAAAAAAAGAAAGTTCTATGGCCCATTTGCCTCTCACTTAGCTTGCGTGTTTTAAATTATTCACTATTGCCTCTTTCGCCTCTTAAATGTTTTCTTTGCCGTTTTTGTGCAAAGAGGAAGCAGACCAGGCTCTTGTAGGCAGTTTTAAAATTCAACATGCAGTAGGCCAAGTTCAAGAGGAGATTATTGTATAACAATCCCTGAGAAGGTTGGTTGTTTTTTCTCCGTTTAAATCTTTTTTTTTTTTTTTTTTTTTTTTTTTTTTTTTACATATTTCTCTACCACAAATCCACTTCTAGCACGGCGGTTAACCATTAGACTAGAGCATGCAGATCGTGACATGCATTACATCTGAGGTGGAGCAGTGAACAGCATTCAAAATATTTCAGAAGGGCTAAGCTTTCCCAGCCATAAAATTAATAAACAAATTGCTGTAAATTGATTATTTCTCACTTGTAGCACACGAAAAGATGAAAGAAATATGGAAAATTACTGTTATATTAGGTCTAAAAAGGGTTGTTTTCACAGATCCCCCTGTTCAAATAACAATCTAGAGATAAATGTTACCAAACTAGCTTCGTTTAGCATAACTGCAAAATTAAAAGATGGTGAAAATCACTTTTGAGAGGAAGTTGTCTCTTGTAATGGCTCATCATAAAAGCCACAGTATTCAACAGTTAACCACTTGCTTTCCTGATTGACACTGGGCTGTGCTTTTCTAGATGACTGGGGGTGAATACCTTTTGAAGTCTCAGTTTCTGTTTAATTGGTATTACGAAAAAATAGCTGGAAAAATATTGAGCAGCAGAGAGGTACGACTTTGTGCCTTCAGCCATTTTTTTTAAACCCAGACACAAGGCCACACAATCTGGTCTCTTATCAACGTCACCGTTATAGAACATGAAAACAAATCTCACCAAACCTGTTAGCTGTTCCACTTTTAAATGGCCCATTTTAATCATCCATGCCATCAAACATAGGTCAAGAAACCGTTTAAGTACCATTGTTTTAATAGTCATGTTCCAGCAGATAAATATGATGGTTTAATGGGGTTGTGTTGCCTTGTCCAGTCCATATTAACTAAACAAGTGAGGTCCTGTCCATTTTCTTGCAAGGCCACAGCCAGCTAGTTGAGTCTACTATCATGAGCCCTGCTGCTGCTTTTCTGTCCCGACGTTTGCTTCCACTCCTCCATTTTTACTGACGGGGATGTTCATGCCAGCCTGCGAGTTCTTGCAGCGACAGCCAGGCCTGCTAACATTGTCATAACATTTCTGCCCCAGCTTGGCCAGTCCCGTAGCTGGAAGGTAGCAGATCAGGCATGGCAAGACGACAGAGAGGGCGGCCATAAAAGACCAGCGTGCACAGCAGTTGGCTTGTGAACATGAGCAGGGCTTGTCTGCACAGGAGCCCTCGTCGTCCTCGTCCTCGGTGCAGTGGTAGAAGATCCCTTTGACTAGGCACATGCAGGTGGCTGTGTCTACCAGGCTCTGAGCCGAGCACAGGCACTCCTGGTTGCAGACCCAACAGGAGGGTAAGGCTCGGGGGAGCGTGCACTCAGTGCATCGACACTTCCCACAGTGCTCGCAGACAAACAGGTGCTTCTTTTCGGTTGGAGAGGAAGGGATAAGCGCCAATCCTTGTTGAATCCCAGTGGAGCACACGCCTCCAGCAGGAACCTTTGCAGACTTGAGGTCAAGTGATTTTGAGAAAGAGGAGCAGGAGGAAGCAGAGGAAGAGGATGTCAGGACTTTAGATTCAGAGGAAGCGAAACAACCAGGAGTTCGGGTTGTGACAGTGTTGATGGGGCCCTTGTGATGGTTTGAGTTTGGGTGGTGATCCACCGTCGGCGTCGGTGCTGCATGGTCCAACAGCCGCTGATCGGAAGAGGTACTGCTGCTGCTGCTAATAGAACTGGGCCTGCCACTGAAGGAAATCCAGGGGTGGGTGGTGGTGTCCGGGTGAGGGTGAGGCTCACATCGGCCGTGCTGATGGAGCTGATGTTGGTGATTGTGGTGATGATTATGGTTGGCCCCAAGGAAGGCCTCCTGATTCTGACCCAGCCAGGTGATTCTTCGATTTGCAGATTTCTGGCTCACAGGCTGCTGAGCCACAACAGCTGGACTGTCAATATAGTCATTCTCCACATGTGATGACTTTATCTGGTCAATGGGATAAATGTTGAGAGGATGCTGAAGACGACCGTAGGGCACTCGACTGTCCAGCAAAGGCTGAGAGATAAGGGAAGAAGACACTCCGGGAATGTGGTGGGGAACCCTGGACTCCATGTGTCGGCTGGTGCCTTGCACGTCTTCACATTAAAGCAGCATTTAGTGATACTGCAAAAACAGATACAAGAGATTCCATTACAACAAGCAACAAGGGCTTCCATGATACTATTTATTCACTCTGAAACTTAAAAGGAATAGGTTCTAAGTATTTTATACAGGAGGTGACATAAATTCTCAAATCTACAAAGATAACAGTTGACAAAAGTTGGATTGATGAATGTTATGCTCTTCAATGCAACCTCCCATACGGTTGCTGAAAATCAAATATGTTATTGCTTTGTGTAGAAAAAAAATGCTCAAAGTACTAAAGTAAAGTTTTTTTTTACTTTTTTGCAACTTCTTTATGCCCAATATTGGTGTCTGATCAGGATGTTATGTCAAAATGAATCAGTAGCTTCTAATTCACCCCCTAGGTTTCATGCATACCAGACATTTGTCATATATGTTGCAATTTGTTTACTTAAAACAGAACAACTGTGACTAGAAATATTCTTAAGGTTTTTTGTTATATAACATTTTCTGGTTGTTAAGCTTGAAACCTATGGTGATTTTTAAAATGGGTACCCAAAGGACCTTTAGTCTGAACCCCATGTCTTCTAACTTTGACATTAGCACAATAGAAGCTGGACTCTCGTCCTCAGTCTTACAAAAAAGCAGAGAGCACCACAGAGTAGGACTTGCATGCAAAAGACTCAAAGATGCAAAACAAGGCAGGGAGGAGAAGAAATTAGAAACTTGCCAGAGAAGCAGAACTAAAGGCAAGAATTTAGGTCGTGTAGACCTGCTTATCAATACCTCCTTCAGCTTTCATAATGTAGTGATGTAATTCCTTAGCAGACTTTACAACCACAAATCCGAATGAGAGAAAATGATCAGTTTTGGAATTTGTGAATGGGGCTGATTTTATGAACCAGCAGGTGTTTTTGTGAATGGGGCCTGCTGTGCTGCAGGCAGCATAAGAGCGATGAATCAGTGCGCTCCATTTATGCTCAGTGAAATCAGCTGCTTCCATTTCCTCCATGAGTGCTCCATGTCAGGTAGACCCCCACTGTTAACTGATGGAAGTAGAAATAGAGCAAGAGCACACACGGTTTGCACTAACCTACATCTCTGCTGCCTGCTATTATGTCAGTCATATAGTTGACATACTGATTTGCTGTTTTCATCCAAAAATGTATCAATACTTCACTCTGTTAAGCTGTTTGTCTTCATCATGTTATTTGCCTCCAACTAAAGGGTCTGAAAAAAAATCCTGGCTTGTTGTGAAACCTGTTGCGACATTGCTGGCAAAGGCGCAAGCGCTTGTGATAGTCAAAAATCTAGACCATTATGAGCTCCAAGCCGGAACTATGCGTGTGCAAGTGCGTACGTGTTTGTGTGTGTGTGTGTGTGTGTGTGTGTGCGCGCGCGTTGCTCCCTTGGAAATGTGAATGGACTGAGTCATAAAACCGGAGGCGGCCGATCGGTGTACTCAAATACCGTGCTTATTGCTTATCGGTACTCTGCGTTTTAAACCTTGTTTTACAAATAATTTAAAAATGACAAAGGTCTTAAAGAAAGCTGATAACTGTGTTCCACTATTGCACATACTCCTAGCAACAAATGCGGACGTTGCAATTCAAAATTCTTAATAAAGCAATATAATAAGAAATGTATTATCAGACGCGTAACGTGAAACGAAGGTGAAAGGGTGAAGCGACGTGGTGCTCTCTGCAGAGGGAGGACAGACTGAACACGAAACCTCATTTTTAAACACAGGGAGCAAAAATGTAGCCAATTTAAAAGACGTCATGATCGTGATAGATGCAGAAGTGCACATCTGCACGTTATTCGCGTCCCTCTCTTTCCTTCGCTTTAATCCCGCGTTTACTCCTAAAACCGGTGGTTAAATATTGACTTAAACATGCAAACACAGGCTCTGAGTCAGTTTCATAAAAAAAAAAGAAAAAGGAAAAAGGACGTTGCTCAGGAGAGCCGCGTCGCGCCGACACCGATACAGGATCCGGCGGACTGAGGTGGCGAAGTTCGAGCAACGGATCTGAAACAAGCCAGGCTTCACGACTTCTGAACATGTAACACAGAGAAAACATCACTCACTGTGGCTATCAGGACGCAATTCTCATCTCTTCGTTACGCTCGACGTCTGCGCGCAGGTCTGTGCCGTCCGCTCGGAGATTGGAGGCGGGTGGTGCGTTAGGTATTTCCAAAGACGTTAACTCCAAAAGGAAAGGCGAGCGGCTCTTTCAGCGCTTTTCTCTCTGCTGGCTTGGCGCATTAAAAAGGCGACTGCGATCGAGGACGCAGAGCTGTGGATATGATGTTGCAACCACCGAGGGGGAGGGAAGTGAGTTTTTATGAATGGGAGGGTAGAGGAGAGGGAAAAGGGGGCCGGCGCTGTGCAGATGCCTCCGTTTTTTCATTTATTTTTTCTGAATGGGAGGGAAGAACGAGTCGGGGAGGGCTTGAAATGCGGAGGTTACATTTTTATGAATGGGGAGGACACCGAATGGCACTGCGCACGCGCGAAGCCCGGATTTTTATGAATGGGAAGAAATAGCGAATGAGGCGTGTGCGTTTGTGCGTGGGGAAAAAATAGGGGTGGGGGCTTTTTTTGGTCACAAGGACAAAGTCATTCCTGATTTACATCGAGGTTCGACTTTCAAATTCATCATCATGCTTTCAAAAACGTCAAATAGAGATAAATTCAACAATATTTATTACATTGGGTAATTAAACTGAGTGGCCAAAAATATGCTTTTCCGAGTATTAATCTGAATTAACAGAAGTCAGTTTTTAAGTGAAAAACAGGATCTGAAGGTGGTTGTTCAATTTTCAAACATATTTTATTGACAAGGATGTCAAGATGCCAGAGGCCACATGGCTAAACTGGATTAGCCCGAATAATAGCCGCTCCCCTCCTGGGTTCCTGTTCTATCTAAAGCCATTTATTGCGAGCAAGGACGTGTCCTTCCTTCCTCTGCAACAATGTGAGGTATGACTATACAGCTTCCACTGTAGTGTAAAAAAACAGGCGGTGGTGAGGAGAGTGTGTGCGTCTGTGTGTGCGTGTGTGTGTGTGTGTGTGTGTGTGTGTGAAACGCAAACCAGCATGAGGGCAGGCAGGATTCACAAAAGGACAGGATGTTGTTGATTTGTACCGAAACCACACGGAGGAAATGAGTGTGAATTTCCTTTCTCTCTGTGACATAATGTGTGGTGTGTGTGTGGGGGTGTGTGTGTGTGTGTGTGTGTGTGTGTGTGTCTCCCTAGCCCCCTTCTCGCCCCCCTCTCCCACTCAGCTTGGGGCTTTTAACCAGTCAAAGGTTAACAGTTGCCCCATTATCCGTTTGCACGCATCGTCATGGCAGCCACCACACCGCCAAATTGGGATTATTGTTTTGAAAAAGCCGGAGTGAAGATAAGGGAAGAAAAAAAGAAAGGAATGAAAATTATTCTAGTTTCAGACTGCATTGAATGGCAAATGAAAGTAAATTTTAAAGTTGAAGATTAAGTGGAAGCTCTCCTTCAACCGATAGAGCAGCTCCATTATATATGTATATATATCTATAGATATATCTATATGTATATATGTGTATATATATATAGATATAGATATACCTGTAGATATATCTCTATATCCTATATGTATATATAGATATATATGAATATATATCTATACACTGCAGTCTTCTGGGCTTTGTCCCTATACTGACTTCAGACTGTATGTTCACCTCCACCCAAACCTCCACCCAAGTCTCAAAGCCTTTTGGCCTCTAACAGGTTTTCTTCCACCCTGGAAAAGAAAAACAACCTGAGAGCACAATGCTGCCACTGCCATGTTTCATAGTGTGAACGGTATGTTCATAAAATCTAAATAAAACAACATTTGTAATTCTAAGATGGGAACACATTCCAAGGGTGTAAATATGAGCTGCTGTTGTTTTTCTTTTTTACAGTTATTGAAGTGACTAACATTTTGAATAATATGTCATGGTCATTGAATTGAATTGTCAGCAGCTGGGTGTGCAAGCCATCATTGTCTTAACAATGTTTTGTGATACTTTATAGTGTTAGTACAGCTTCAAAAGTTGCTACATGTGCCTAAAGGAAATTATATGAATGAATCAGTTAACTGAAGATATGTAGTTTGAGTTGCAAAACACAACAAATGACTGCTCAGCTTCAAAAACAATTCAAGAAAATAAAACCAAACAGGAACAAAAGTAAAAGAAGTTAAAAAAAAATTGGATGCTTCTGCAGAAAAGGTCAATGTATTTTTATTTCACTTGTACCGCTCTTTTTTTGCAGTATAGAAATTAACAGCTAAATTTTGACTGTGAGATTTTGCTCCTTTTGATACATAACCTATTGATGTCACATGTCTTGCTTAAACAATAAGTTATAAAAGTAGCAGTTTCAGACTTTCATGAGCTGTGCTGAAAAATGTGGGATATTTACAATAGGTTGATAGTGGAAACTTTTTTTCTTAGTTGCAGGATTGGATTTAGCTCTCATTTAGATTATTATTAACCACCTAATTATATAATAATTAATGTTTCCTGCTCTATGTGGTGCTGTCATGCCGTAAATCTTTGTCAGAAGTGTGAAATATTGTACCTTCTGCAGGGTTTTGTTTCTGAACTTTATAACTTCATCTGGAAAAGTTGTCCTTCACTTTGGATTGTGTGTTTTCTGTTGTTTCTGCTGCGATATAAAAGTTAAATATAATGTGACTTTGTAATACTTGTTCTCAGCATAAAAAAATCACACTGTGATAAAATAAAAGCCCATCCTGCATGTTTTCTTTATGCTTCATGAAAATGTGCCTTAAAATCTGTGGTAATATTGTGAACCATGGTGAGGCGACTTTACACATTATTATTTTGGAAAACAGCTGGATCTGGGGCTGAACTGCTAATAGAAAAATGTTCAACAAAAAATATTTAGAAGATGCACCATACGAAAACAAACTGCCATATAATACAACCCTCCCCTCCGGCTGCCTATCTATCATCCTTTCACATTTCTGTCTCCATTTTTCTTTCTGTCTCCTGACACACAGATGTGCAGAGACGCACAAAGATGTATTGTGGATACATTAAAATTTTCTTTTGCAGCTGTGTGGCTCTCAGGCACGGCCAAATTGAAGTGCTTGTTGGATTGTAGATTTCTCAGCGGTGTGATCATCTGGGTAGACACGCACAGAAGGGAAGGTCCAGTTCTCTCTCCCTCTCTCTGGAGTCCTTCCTCCCAGCCTCACCCACAGCCACATCTGCTGGCGACTGCTGTGAGGCTCTGATTGTAATGGACAGCCACATCTGGCTCCCAAACAGGTTGATGAATCTACCAATAAACTGCATTTCCCTCATCAAAATAAATGTGACAAAATTATTTTAGAAAAGCTTTCATGTTTGAACATAAAAATATTTTTTTGAGGGGAACTCTTTCTTCTTGTTTTTTTTTTCTTTTTTGGGGGGGGAATGTCTATTCTACAGTTGTCTCACACTAATTGTAAACAGCTAGATACTAGACGGTAGTTTTGGTGTCTGGGCTTGCCCATCTTTTTTTTCTCCAAACATCTAGAAACCCAAGAAAGGCTGATAACGGTTCAGTCTGTGAGCACAGGGTGAAAATGTAAATGTCAGTGACAGCTTATCAAAAGCTTCCTTTTGCAGGTAAGCCCATCATTTATCTTCCTCCCTTGATGCTTCACAATACACATTTCTCGCCAATTAACATGTGTGTAGGGCACTTCCAATGCCACAGCTTGTTTTTCTTTTTAATTTAGAGCTTTTAAAATGCGTCTCACAGCAGGTCGGCTAGTCTGAGTGCTTCCTGTTTTACTGAGAAAATAAAATCTCAAGAAAAAGCCAAGTCACAACTGTAACTTAAAACCGAGCTTATTGTAAAACTATGAGGCAGAAAAACACTACAGTAGAGCAAAACTCAAGATTCTTTTTCATTGTGATTGTAAGGATATACATGATTTTTGTTCAACTAGCTTGAAAACAGCCCTTAAAACAGCTGTAAATAAAGAACATCTGAAATAAATCTACACATACAATTCTATACACAGAGACAATATATGTTAACGGGCCAAGATATTGTGTGAGCAAAAAGATAAAGACAATGTTCCCTCCAGATTAGACTCTAGAAAATATTCTGCAAACATAAAAATAAATGAAATGTGAAATAGAATCACTATCAGGTTAAAGAGCCAGCAGATTTGTAAACAAAGATAAACCTAAATTGAATAAATGTCATTGTTTGAGTGATATTTAAAACTGTTCAGGAGTCTGGTGCATTTTTTAACGTCTGTGACGAGAAAGAAGGAAGAAGCTCAGCGAGACGGTGGACAGGGTGTGAGGAGTCTGTGAGATATTTTTGTTTTCTGAAGGAAGTGGAAGGTGAAGATGTTATTCATAACAAGCATGTTTGTGTTCATTGAACTGTGAGACAGCGAAATGAAAGTGTGATTAAAGGCAATGATCAGGAGGATGTGCAAAGATGAATTTGTGGAACAATTTAGAGAAATTAATGGATGTACTGAATGTTATGATTGCAAAAAGTGTATGTATAGTGACAAAAGCTACAAAAAATTAATAACATAAATTAATAAATAAAAGCATTATAAAAGCATTTGATCCACTTTTGATCAAGCCGAGAGAAAATGTTATAATAAACACTAAATCAGCAGCATCAGCGTCACAACAAATGATAACAAAATGAACAAGTAAAATTACAGTTTAACCTCCAAGAGGATAAAAAAAGACTATAGTGAGACACAGAAGTTGACTGTGATGCCAGGTAGCTCCACTCTTCAAACTCAGACTTCCTTCCTCGCTGCCTGCCTGACCAGGCGCTGTGTTTGTGCTTCGGAGCCAGAAGAAATATGTTGTGAGAGGAGGAGGAAGGGGGGCGTCTGTGTGACTGTGTGAGTCTGTGTCTCCACATCCATCAAAATAAAGAGTTTTGATGGCTTTGGCCTGCCCTTATTGCACCATAATAGGATACATTACATCTAATTGACTTGGTGAAAAAGAATCCTGTGAAAAAAAGATAAAGAGAAAATGAAACTTCCCAGAGGAGTTTTACAGCAACAGGTTGTTTACAGCATTTCACATAAAAAAGCCTTATTAACATTCAGAGTTTTAAAGGATTCTTATAATCTCATTATCTGAACTCTAACTTTTCTTTTTTCTTGTGAAGTTAGTATCAGCACCATACTGAGTTGTTTTTTCAGTCCAGTTTACCTCCTAATCCATTTAGATTTTAAAAAATTACACCACATATGTGATTATATATTAGTGAGAGTCACATACTTTTGGCAGAAC